TGATAGGAGCTATAGTGGCACAATCTTGATAGTGGATCTATTGTGGCACAATCTTGATAGTGGAGCTATTATGGCACAATCTAGACAGTGGAGCTATTGTGGCAATATTGACAGTGGAGCTATCGTGGCACAATCTTGATAGTGGATCTATTGTGGCACAATCTTGATAGTGGTGCTATTGTGGCACAACCTTGATAGTGGAGCTATAGTGGCACAATCTAGATAGTGGAGCTATTGTGGCACAATCTTGATAGTGGAGCTATTGTGGCACAATCTTGATAGTGGAGCTATTATGGCACAATCTTGATAGTGGATCTATTGTCGCACAATCTAGAGAGTGGAGCTATTGTGGCACAATCTTGAGAGTGGAGCTATTGTGGCACAATGTTGATAGTGGATCTATTGTGGGACAATCTTGATAATGGAGCTATTGTGGCACAACCTTGATAGTGGAGCTATAGTGGCACAATCTAGATAGTGGAGCTATTGTGGCATAATCTTGATAGTGGAGCTATTGTGGCACAATCTTGATAGTGGAGCTATTATGGAACAATCTTGATAGTGGAGCTATAGTGGCACATCTAGACAGTGGAGCTATTGTGGCACAATCTTGATAGTGGAGCTATAGTGGCACAATCTTGATAGTGGAGCTATTATGGCACAATCTTGATAGTGGATCTATTGTGGCACAATGTTGATAGTGGATCTATTGTGGCACAATCTAGATAGTGGAGCTATTGTGGCACAATCTTGATAGTGGAGCTGTTATGGCACAATCTTGATATTGGAGCTATTATGGCACAATCTTGAGAGTGGAGCTAATGTGGCACAATCTTGATAGTGGAGCTATAGTGGCACAATCTTGATAGTGGAGCTGTTATGGCACAATCTTGATAGTGGGGCTATTACGGCACAATCTTGATAGTGGAGCTATTGTGGCACAATCTTGATAGTGGAGCTATTGTGGCACAATCTTGATAGTGGAGCTATTGTAGCACAATCTTGATAGTGGAGCTATTGTGGCACAATCTTGATAGTGGAGCTATTATGGCACAATCTTGATAGTGGAGCTATTATGGCACAATCTTGAGAGTGGAGCTATTGTGGCACAATCTTGAGACTGGAGCTATTGTGGCACAATCTTGATAGTGGAGCTATTGTGGCACAATCTTGATAATGGAGCTATTGTGGCACAATCTTGATAGTGGAGCTATAGCGGCACAATCTTGATAGTGGAGCTATTATGGCACAATCTTGATAGTGGAGCTATAGTGGCACAATCTTGATAATGGAGCTATAGTGGCACAATCTTGATGGTGGATCTATTGTGGCACAATCTTGATAGTGGAGCTATTGTGGCACAATCTGGATAGTGGAGCTATTGTGGCACAACCTTGATAGTGGAGCTATTGTGGCACAACCTTGATAGTGGAGATATTGTGGCACAATCTTGACAGTGGAGCTATTGTGGCAACATTGACAGTGGAGCTATTGTGGCACAACCTTGATAATGGAGCTATAGTGGCACAACCTTGATAGTGGAGCTATTGTGGCACAATATTGATAGTGGAGCTATTGTGGCACAACCTTGATAGTGGAGCAATTGTGGCACAATCTTGATAGTGGAGCTATTGTGGCACAATCTTGATAGTGGAGCTATAGTGGCACAATCTAGATAGTGGATCTATTGTGGCACAATCTTGATAGTGGAGATATTGTGGCACAATGTTGATAGTGGATCTATTGTGGCACAACCTTGATAGTAGAGCTATTGTGGCACAATCATGACAGTGGAGCTATTGTGGCACAATATTGACAGTGGAGCTATTATGGCACAATCTTGATAGTGGAACTATTGTGGCACAACCTTGATAGTGGAGCTATTGTGGCACAATCTTGATAGTGGAGCTATTGTGGCACAATCTTGATAGTGGATCTATTGTGGCACAATCTTGACAGTGGAGCTATTGTGGCACAATCTTGATAGTGGAGCTATTGTGGCACAATCTTGATAGTGGAGCTATTGTGGCACAATATTGACAGTGGAGCTATCGTGGCACAATCTTGATAGTGGAGCTATTGTGGCACAATCTTGAGAGTGGAGCTATTGTGGCACAATGTTGATATTGGATCTATTGTGGCACAATCTTGATAGTGGAGCTATTGTGGCACAACCTTGATAGTGGAGCTATAGTGGCACAATCTTGATAGTGGAGCTATTGTGGCACAATCTTGATAGTGGAGCTATTGTGGCACAATCTTGATAGTGGAGCTATTGTGGCACAATCTTGATAGTGGAGCTATTGTGGCACAATCTTGATAGTGGAGCTATTGTGGCACAACCTTGATAGTGGAGCTATTGTGGCACAATCTTGATAGTGGAGCTATTGTGGCACAATCTTGATAATGGAGCTATTGTGGCACAATCTTGATAGTGGAGCTATTGTGGCACAATAGTTGGATCTTGATAGTGGAGCTATTGTGGCACAACTTGATAGTGGAGCTATTGTGGCACAACCTTGATAGTGGAGCTATAGTGGCACAATCTTGATAGTGGAGCTATTGTGGCACAATCTTGATAGTGGAGCTATAGTGGCACAATCTTGATAGTGGAGCTATTGTGGCACAATCTTGATAGTGGAGCTATTGTGGCACAATCTTGATAGTGGAGCTATTGTGGCACAATCTTGATAGTGGAGCTATTGTGGCACAATCTTGATAGTGGAGCTATTGTGGCACAATCTTGATAGTGGAGCTATTGTGTGGCACAATCTTGATAGTGGAGCTATTGTGGCACAATCTTGATAGTGGAGCTATTGTGGCACAATCCTTGATAGTGGAGCTATTGTGGCACAATCTTGATAGTGGAGCTATTGTGGCACAATCTTGATAGTGGAGCTATTGTGGCACAATCTTGATAGTGGAGCTATTGTGGCACAATATTGATAGTGGAGCTATTGTGGCACAATCTTGATAGTGGAGCTATTGTGGCACAATCTTGATAGTGGAGCTATTGTGGCACAATCTTGATAGTGGAGCTATTGTGGCACAATCTTGATAGTGGAGCTATTGTGGCACAATCTTGATAGTGGAGCTATTGTGGCACAATCTTGATAGTGGAGCTATTGTGGCACAACCTTGATAGTGGAGCTATAGTGGCACAATCTTGATAGTGGATGTATTGTGGCACAATCTTGATAGTGGAGCTATTGTGGCACAATCTTGATAGTGGAGCTATTGTGGCACAATCTTGATAGTGGAGCTATTGTGGCACAATCTTGATAGTGGAGCCATTGTGGCACAATCTTGATAGTGGAGCTATTGTGGCACAATCTTGATAGTGGAGCTATTGTGGCACAATCTTGATAGTGGAGCTATTGTGGCACAATCTTGATAGTGGAGCTATTGTGGCACAATCTTGATAGTGGAGCTATTGTGGCACAACCTTGATAGTGGAGCTATTGTGGCACAATCTTGATAGTGGAGCTATTGTGGCACAATCTTGATAGTGGAGCTATTGTGGCACAATCTTGATAGTGGAGCTATTGTGGCACAATCTTGATAGTGGAGCTATTGTGGCACAATCTTGATAGTGGAGCTATTGTGGCACAATCTTGATAGTGGAGCTATTGTGGCACAATCTTGATAGTGGAGCTATTGTGGCACAATCTTGATAGTGGAGCTATTGTGGCACAATCTTGATAGTGGAGCTATTGTGGCACAATCTTGATAGTGGAGCTATTGTGGCACAATCTGATAGTCTTGGCATCTTGATGTGGAGCTATTGTGGCACAATCTTGATAGTGGAGCTATTGTGGCACAATCTTGATAGTGGAGCTATTGTGGCACAATCTTGATAGTGGAGCTATTGTGGCACAATCTTGATAGTGGAGCTATTGTGGCACAATCTTGATAGTGGAGCTATTGTGGCACAATGTTGATAGTGGAGCTATTGTGGCACAATCTTGATAGTGGAGCTATTATGGCACAATCTTGATAGTGGAGCTTGAACCTTGATAGTGGAGCTATTGTGGCACAATCTTGATAGTGGATCTATTGTGGCACAATCTTGATAGTGGAGCTATTGTGGCACAATCTTGATAGTGGAGCTATTGTGGCACAATCTTGATAGTGGAGCTATTGTGGCACAATCTTGATAGTGGAGATATTGTGGCACAATCTTGAGAGTGGAGCTATTGTGGCACAATGTTGATAGTGGAGCTATTATGGCACAATCTTGATAGTGGAGCTATTGTGGCACAATCTTGATAGTGGAGCTATTGTGGCACAATCTTGATAGTGGAGCTATTGTGGCACAATCTTGATAGTGGATCTATTGTGGCACAATCTTGATAGTGGAGCTATTGTGGCACAATCTTGATAGTGGAGCTATTGTGGCACAATCTTGATAATGGAGCTATTGTGGCACAATCTTGATAGTGGAGCTATTGTGGCACAATATTGATAGTGGAGCTATTGTGGCACAATCTTGATAGTGGAGCTATTGTGGCACAACCTTGATAGTGGAGCTATTGTGGCACAATCTTGATAGTGGAGCTATTGTGGCACAATCTTGATAGTGGAGCTATTGTGGCACAATCTTGATAGTGGAGCTATTGTGGTGCAATATTGATAGTGGAGCTATTGTGGCACAATCTTGATAGTGGAGCTATTGTGGCACAATATTGATAGTGGAGGTATTGTGGCACAATCTTGATAATCGAGCTATTTTGGCACAAAAGTGGGTACAATAGGGTCCTGACATTAATGCATTAAAGGCATAAAGTGGTGCTGTAATGGCTCAGGAGAGGCTTCATAGTGGCTAGAAAGTTCTGCAATCTTGTGAATTATTATCATGAAAATGACACGTAAGTTCCAAAGAAGGCTACCCAGGTATGTCACATACATTTTTGTCTATATGTGATTCCGCTTTGTTAAGATGCAGTGAATGCAGAGTGGAGAGCAGCCATTGTTTCACAGTATGTGTCTTCATGTTCCAGCTGCAGATGAAAGAGAGAATGTCAGTCTCCACTTTGAACACAAACTTGTCAGCTGTGACTTAAAAACTGGCGAAATCATCTTTGAAAAGTAAGTAAACAATTTGAAGTGATGTACAAAGCGCAAAGAACAGTCATATACATGTTCATATTAATTGGGGCGTTGGGGTAGTCCAGTGGTTAAAGCGTTGGCTCGTCACGCCGAAGACCCGGGTTCGAATCCCCACATGGGTAAAATGTGTGAAGCCCATTTCTGGTGTCCCCTGCTGTGATATTGCTGGAATATTGCTAAAGGCGGCGTAAAACCAAACTATGTCAGTCAGTCAGTCATATTAATTGATCCTGTTGTCATTCATTAGGGCCGGTGGGGTAGCCTAGTGGACAACCTAGTGATTAAGCATTCGCTCCTCACCACACGGGTACAATGTGTGATGCCCATTCCTGGTGTCCCCTCTGTGAAACCATACTCACTCACCCACAGATTCATTACTTCATGACTTCCGTAAACAAGTTGCATGTGTTGTGTATCAGGTCACAACCCACTGTGTTGAGTTATGTACCTTAGCTGTTGAGTGAGTGAGTGAGTGAGTGAGTGAGTGAGTGAGTTTTAGTTTTACGCCGGCGGTCTGTAGATATACGGGTCTGGACCAGACAGTCCAGGGATCAACAGCATGAACATCGATGATGAATCTTCAGTAAATGAACAGTCCATTGACCTGTGTTTACCTGACCATCTTACTTAATTCTACCTGTATGCATTCAGCATTCTGGTATGGTCCAGTCTAACCATTGTTACTAGCCAACAGATGAACAAATATGTTCATTGCCCCAAGTTGACACTGAGTGGTGGGTTTATGAATGTTCAAAATTTATCAAGTGATTGTGTTGCAGGATTTTTCATCTATTGCCTACATTTTGTGTCATTCCATATGACTGTGTATATAACAAAGTTCTGTAACAAATTAATCCTTTAGATGGCTCAGTTATGATAGAGCAGTCACCACTACTGAAGTAGAAATATTTACAATGATTATGAACGTAGGTTCTGGAACAAGATGTGTTGAGGGGTGGCTGGTCAGAGCGACATTTGGCAATCCATGGGTTCTCTCCAAGGCAACATGCAGCTTGCCATTAAAAATGTGACTGTTATTATGAGGGATTGATGTCTTGTACAAAGGTTTTTACGATGCAAGGTCTGCAATCTAGCACAATACACTACTACAACACATAGAGAACGGATTATGTCAGCGGCAAGTGTTGTAGTCCTTTTATAAAGTATTGCTATATATCTGTGCCTTTGACTTCTAAAGGAGAAGGACACTCCAACTCTGAAGGTATTGATAATATGGATTTGCCTTTTCTTTGAGGATTCAAAATTTGATTTGACTATAATCTTGACTGTTTGACTTGTGTTTGGATCTGTCCTCACTCCACTGCACAAAGCGACACCTATTGGGGATTGAAGAAAGAGAAACTGGGTATCATAACAAAGGCTATACAATAAAGAGTTGTAACCAAACTTACATGTTTTTATTATCAATTGTATCAATCAAGTGTATTAGTGACACTTTCAGCCATATTGTCATATTATACACAGCAAAAATTGTATCCCTTTAGAAAATTCAGGTAAAGGAACAGGTCATAACCAACTTAGTCTATAAAATGTAAAGCAACAGATATGTTATCACCAGACATGTGAATTACCATTTGAAATGTATTTTTTTGCACCGTTAGGCATAGCTAGCTGTATATGATATATGCCATATTATATATTATTACCATTAGAATTTTCTCATAAAAGTGGGATGTAGAAATCAGCCGTGCTCACATGTTCTACTATTTAACCCTAATTGAGTTAAATATACCCAAAAATATAGTTGTATGAAAATTTGATGCAATGATTAGATGAATGTACCATTTTAACAAAACTTATATATTTCAGTATCAAGTTTATGTAGTTTCGGCTTTTCTGCACATATTATAAGTTGTTCACTGGTCACAAGGGGGACATGGAATGATGTACCCTCTATGTTTGCTTTTTTTTCCCTCGCCCTTCGGGCTCACTCTTTATGTTTGTTAATGTTCCCTGAGACCAAAACATAGAGGGTACATAAACCCATTGGTCCCGAGGGACCAGTGAACAACGTAGTTATCTTACCGAACACCTCAATGGTAATTTTGAACTGTTTGAAGCACGGGTATTGGATCATAATAAGGAGTACCAGAGTTAGGCAACACCATTAACACTACTAACATGAAGTACCAGACAAATTCCGACAGTTCAGCATTTCCAGCAGGTAACATAGAATATGTTACGCTTGTAAGCGGGGTACATTTATTGGCTCAGCCAATCGGAAAACGACATTTATGTGTGAGGTAAGATAAGTATATACATATATGTATATGTGTGTGATAACTGAAAGCATAGCATTTATCTACAACTGATTAAAAGTTGATAGATGTACATATTTTTCAAAAACTCCTCCAACCGTAGCAATAAGGTAAAAATCTTCATGCCAACTGCTGAAGATGATCCAGTGACTTCTAATGCAAAATGATCTTTCTTGATAGCTTTTTGTACAGCTGATCACTGTAACCTAGCTCAATGCTATAGTTTTGTTTGACTTAAATCATTTTATCATGGTTCTCTATTATAAAATGAAAGAAAAGTTAAAATATGTGATTTTCTGTTTGTCCAAACTTTGATATAATAAGAGCAAAAACTTTATGTTGTTGCCTTCAATTTGAACAGTTTATTTTGTAATGTCCTTACAGGCCAGATACAACTAAGGTGAAACAGCAAGTGGATCTAATCCTTGGCAATGATGGCGCCTTCTCTGCCGTGAGAAAGGAAATGATCAGACAGAGTAGTAGGTTTAACTATGCCCAGGAGTACATCCCGCATGGGTACATGGAGCTGGTCATCAACCCCACATCATCAGGCGAGGTGAGTGAGTGGAGCAAGGACAAAAGGTGGCTGGAACCCTCTGTGTGGTATTTATTGCATAATATCATGTCCTGACAATATGCACTAATGTGTCAGTGCTTCTTGCCATTCAGGTTCATGTTTATAGCTCTTGAAATAATCAGTGATGACAGGTGTGATATCAACCACGTGTTGATGACAGATGTGATATCAGCCATGTATTGATGACAGTCATGATATCAGCAGTGTATTGATAATGGTTGTGATATCAGCCATGTGTTGATGACAGTTTATGATATCAGCCATGTGTTGATGACAGTTGTGGTATCAGTCATGTGTTGATGACAGTTGTGATATCAGCAGTGTGTTGATGACAGTTGTGATATCAGCAGTGTTGATGACAGTTGTGACATCAGCCATGTGTTGATGACAGTTGTGATATCAGCCATGTGTTGATGACAGTTGTGATATCAGCCATGTGTTGATGAGAGTTGTGATATCAGCCATGTGTTGATGACAGTTGTGATATCAGCCATGTGTTGATGACATCAGCAGTGTGTTGATGTCAGTTGTGACATCAGCCATGTGTTGATGACAGTTGTGATATCAGCCATGTGTTGATGACAGTTGTGATATCAGCCATGTGTTGATGACAGTTGTGATATCAGCCATCTGTTAATGACAGATGTGACATCAGCTATGTGTTGGTGAGAGTTGTGATATCAGCAATGTGTTGACAATGGCTGTGATATCAGCCATGTGCTGATAAAAGTTGTGATATCAGCCATGTGTTGATGAAAGTTGTGATATCAGCCATGTGTTGATGACAGTTGTGATATCAACCATGTGTTGATGACAGTTGTGATATCAGCCATGTGTTGATGACAGTTGTGATATCAGCCATGTGTTGATGACAGTTGTGATATCAGCCATGTGTTGATGACAGTTGTGATATCAGCCATGTGTTGATGACAGTTGTGATATCAGCCATGTGTTGATGACAGTTGTGATATCAGCAGCTGTGTGTTTGTTGACAGTTGTGATATCAGTAATGTGTTGATGACAGAACTTTGTGATATCAGCCATGTGTTGATGACAGTTGTGATATTAGCCATGTTTTGATGACAGTTGTGATAGCCATGTGTTGTTGACAGTTGTGATATCAGCAGTGTTGGTGACAGTTGTGATATCAGCCATGTGCGCACAAGAAAAAAAATGGTGATTTCCAAAAATTTCCAATTTGGAAATATCATATTTCCAAAAATTTCCAAAATTGGAAAGATGATGTTTCCAAGGCTTGGAAATTTTTGGAAATTTAGGAAGGATTTTACCTCTACTTCTTTCAATTTCTCTTTTTTCCCAAGGATCCCCGGCCCATGAGTGTATAGACTGAACTATTTCACGAATCTTTTGATCTGTTAGAGTTCTTATTATTGATATACATAATGTATCTTGCATGTGACATATTTATTCATGAAAACTGCAGGAATAAGCCATATTTTCATATTATCCCTTTGTGCGTGATATCAATGCACGCGTGAAGTGATACTTTTTTTAAAGTTGGGATTATGTTTAGAGTAAGTGTTTACTATTCGCCGTCCTATGCGACCAACTAGGAACCAATTTTATATATTAGTTTAACTTCACTCATCTGCATTCTTCTTGTTCTATGTGTCAAAAATTTATATTGACTGTTCTATTTACCGCTAGTATTGTGAGCATTTTCAAAAGTCAGTTTCAAGTGTATGTTTTAGTTGTTATCCACAAAAGCGCAAATATATTTATTTTTTTCCCTTTCTCAATGTTCAGTATGAATACAAATTCCATACACCTACGCTATATGGACTATATAACAGTGTACCAGACATACTGATTGACTGAGTGTATTACATGCCATAAAAGTGAACCCGTGCCATTCATGTAATGGATTCCCGTGAAGTAGGATTTTGTTATTACAGTATAATCTCGTTCATGTTATGCGTTGGTGTTGTTATACGGGATTAAGACACTGGGTGCTATAAAATTCTGAACTTGTTTTGAAATATGATCAATTTACTGAGTTAATTTACTGAGTTTAGCTCACTGAGATTATAATGATACTGATTCATGTGTTCACTCAACGTCTACGGGGATGATATGTTCTCACGTCTCGCCAAAGTTATTGATTAATCTACTAATCTACTAATATCTAATAAAGTGCTAGAGTTTTGGGTGACCTTCGTAGGGTCAGTAATAAGTTGAAGTAGGTCATACATGATTTGAAAATTATGTATCTTATTATTACTTGGGGTGTTGGCATGGCAGATTTAAGAAGATCGTTGAAAAGGCCCTCCAAATGATAGTTGAGATATATTTCACATGATATGTTTCATCTTGTGATGAGTAGTATAAACAATGGGGGTAATGGGACCAGCCTATATAAGGCAAGGAATCAATAAGTATCTATTCCTAACTCATATTAATTTTTAAAACCATAACACAACTACTTTTCATCTCCCATGTAAAAAAGTAGTCATAGTCTTACTCGAAAGACTATGTGGTACAGGACCATAAACCCATACAAAAATACTTTTTATCTGACCTGTAAAAAGTAACCATAGTCTTACTCGAAAGAGTAAGACTATGGATACTTTTACAGGGGAGATAAAAAGTAACCATAGTCTTACTCGAAAGAGTAAGACTATGGAGTATGGGGTCATCCTATATAAGGCAAGCAATCAATAAGTATCTATTAAATTTTTTCTATCACCATTAGAGTGTCACATTTAATGAAGTCAAATCGTATCAAGTCCCTCGATGTATGAAAGGTGTATGTTACGGGTAAGATTACACAATCCTATATCTATTACATCATCTTATGTTTAACATGAAGGATGTTTGTCTATTTAGAGAATTGTTTTCACGCATATAATATCAACGCTGCTGTGTTTGTAACTTTATGATATGTTTACAGTACATGAATTGAAAAAGCAAGCGCGAGACCGTGGACTTCGAGGTTATTCTCGTATGAGAAAACATGAATTGCTAGATTTATTAGGTTTTAAATATCAAAAACACCTACTGTGAAAGAACTAACAAAACAAGCTCGTGAGCGTGGAATGCGAGGTTATTCTCGTATGAGGAAATCTGAGCTAACTGAATTACTGAAAGAACAAAACCTATAGAATTACAATTCAGACCTACTGAGCATGCTGTAGGTAAATATTTGAGAGGTTGGATGATGGAAGTTCAAAGAAACATAGATGTTGAAGACATAAAACCATTGGTATTTGACAAAGTAAACGAAGAACTTAACGATTTAAGAGGTATTAAATTTCAACTCACGTTAAACATGACACTAGAGAAACAACAGTCGAATGAAACAACTGAATACACCAATGTTTACTTCAGAGGTAATCAAGAAGTTACAAGCAAACCAGACACTATCAACTCTTCTATAGACAGATCATTAGAAAAATCACGAGAAACACTAGAACGTTACACTAATATGGGTTCTGGTTGGGTTGTTGACAAGATTAATATGGTCTACCTGGATATAGCAAACTATATACCGTTGAAAGGTGGATCGTACTTACCCCTTTCTGAGTATTTCAAGAAAAAACAAGCTATGGTTAACGTTAAAAACCGAGACAACAATTGTATGAGGATAGCGATAAGATCTGCTAAATTTCCAGTTGAAAAACATTCCGATAGACTTTCCAGTTATCCAGAAGATGACGGGACCAATTGGGAAGGTATAGACGAACCCACCCCCATCTCTCAGATCCAAAAAATCGAACAACAGAATCAAGACTTAGCCATGAAAGTTTTCGGACACGAAGGTAAAAACGTAATAGTACACAAGACAAGTCCTTTATTGTATAAGGATTGTCGTGAAATGATCAATATATTTATGATCCAACAAGGTGAAAAATATCACTACACATGGATAAAGAATTTAAGCCGACTGTTGTACAATCAATCGAAACACAGGGAAAAGAAACATTTTTGTGAAAGGTGCCTTCACGGGTTTTCTAGGGCTGATCTGCTTGATTCGCACAGGGTTGATTGCCTAGGTGTTGGGGAGACAGCCGTATGAATAGATATGCCGAGAGAAAAAAACGACATCTTGAAATTTATCTACCACAAAAATCAAATGCCAGTACCATATATTATCTACGCTGACTTGAAGCTATCATTAAACCAATCGATACAGTAGCTCAATCCACTAATCAAAGTTTCACACAAAAAGTACAAGAGCATGAAGCGTGTGGGTTCGGGTATGTGGTCGTTCGTTGTGATGGTCAAACTAACCCTCCAGTTATTTATAGAGGACAAGACGCGGCTGAAGAATTTCTAAAGCGTTTACAACACGAAGAGAAAATGGTTATTAAAAAACTATGTAACAAAACACCAATGCGTATGACCCAAGCAGACCGGGAAGCCCACAACAAAAGAACATATTGTCATGTGTACTGTAAAGCTCTGAATGGTGATTCAGTTAGAGATCACTGTCACATTACTGGTAAATACAGAGGTGCGGATCACAATGAATGTAACTTGAAGCTAAGAATAAATCCTAAACTTATTCATATACCAGTGGTGTTTCACAATCTTCGCGGGTATGATTCACACTTGATTATGCAAGCTATTACAAAGGTAAAAGGCAACATATCCTGTATCCCAAACAATATGGAAATATATATATCCTTTTCGCTAAATGGGTTGAGATTCATAGATAGTGTTCAGTTTCTGTTGTCGTCTCTAGACAGCTTGGTCAAGGCTAATAACCCGAATGACTTAGCTGTAACTAATCGTTACACAGAAGAGGAAACTCGAGCTTTGCTGTTACGTAAGGGTATCTACCCATATGAATACATGGATGACTGGTCTAAGTTTAATGAGACACAGTTACCTCCTATTGACCGCTTCTATAGCAAGCTGTCTGACGCTGCGTCTATCACACAAGACGATTACACGAACACGCGAAAAAGTATGGGAAAACTGGGTTGTCATAATCTAGGTGATTATCACGATTTGTA